CCAAATTCCTGGTCCTTGGTCTTGGTTCAGGAGACCTCTAGACCCAGGGGCTTCGCTTCATTGCTAAATGCATCGAGAGCCGCTATTAGGGTTTCCAAAGACTCAGATAGAATGGCAACGTCATCAGCAAAGTCAAGGTCTGTAACCTTGATATTGCCCAGCGTTGCCCCACAATGACTTTGAACAGTAGCTCTGCCCAGTATCCAGTCCATGCAAATGTTGAAAAGAGTTGGTGCATGGACACAGCCTTGCCTCACTCCTGAACTAACAGGAAAGAAGCTCAACAGGCCCCCACCACACTTTACAGCACTTTCAGTACCAGTATACAGGCTTGCTATTAGTCCAATAATCCTTGTTGGTATTTCCTCTCAGCCTCAGGATCTCCCAAAGTGACTCCCGATGCACCGTATCGAACGCCTTCTTGAGGTCGATGTAGGCTGCGAGCAGCCCACGCCCGAACTCACGACGGCGCTCTACAATGACTCGAAGCGCGAGGATATGGTCTATTGTGGACTTACCAGGAGTGAATCCGGATTGCTCCAGTCTCTGGTGCCTCAGTAGATGGTCTCTGATACGTCTCAGAAGGATGTGGGCGAGAACCTTGCCTGGTACACTGAGCAGTGTGATGCCTCGGTGATTGCTGCAGTCCCAACGGTCCCCCTTCCCCTTCCAGAGAGGGATGACCACACCCCCTCAACAGGTCAGGAGGAACGGAACCGGACTGCCAGATGGCAGCCAGGACAGCATGTAACCCCGTGCCATAGGTTCACCACCAGCCTTTAACAGTTCAGCTGGCATGCCGCAGATACCAGCTGCTTTACCACTCTTCAGCTTAGAAATCGCCCCCCTAACTTCAGTTAGGGAGGGAGGGTCCTCACTGATAGGTGGATCCGGCAGTGGGATCTCGACACTACCCGCATCCAAGTTAACTGTTGGTGGGTCCACCTGGTACAGCTGCTCAAAATACTCAGCCCAACGTCCCCGCACCGCAACAGGATCTGAAACGATCTGACCACTTACTGAGCGAACTGCTGTCACCTGTGAAGAGGGCTTGGAGTTCAGCTTTCTCAGGGCTTGGTATCAGGACGAAGGTCA